GCGGAGGGGGGAGGGGGGAGTGGCGGGGAGCCACTCCCCCCGCCCGGCTTCTGCACGCAACCTGAGGTTCCCAGTGCCAGTCGTGGCTCCAGCCGCTGCCGCTGCCCCCGCCCCGCCCGGCTTTTGCACGCGACCACAGGGCTCCCAGTGCCACAGGGCTCGCCTCCCAGTTGCTCCCCTGCCAGGTTTCTGTCCGGCGCCCAGCGGAAATTCAGAAAATATCGGACATTGCACATGTCTGGTATTTTCTGAATTTTTCTACCGGACAGAGGGTGCAAATACCGGACTGTCCGGTAGAAAACCGGACACCTGGCAACCCTAATTACATGTGTCGACAAAGGAAAAACAGTCTAAATTGCACTGTCTGTATTACTTATTATATATTTTTCAATTTATAAAATGGCAACTACTGCAGTCTTTAGGAGAGTAAACATTAATGATAAAAGCACATACCTTTAAAATAAGTTGAACAATATGAAATAGAGAATTTTTTAAACATACTTGTACCACAAAAGAATACCATGTCACTGAAACCACAACCTTCGGCAAAAGCCTGAGTGGATAGTTGTGCTTTATATTAAAATTATTCTCCTCAACCTTTGAGGTTAGGACAAGAACCAATGGGTTTATATTGCAGCAAGGGAGGTTTAGGTTGGACATTAGGAAAAACTTCCTAACTGTCAGGATGGTTAAACACTGGAATAAATTGCCTTAGGATATTGTGAAATCACCATCAATTGAGATTTCTAAGAGCAGGTTAGAAAAACACTTATCAGGGGTTTCTAGATCCGTATTTCTCAAAGTGGGTCGTAGGCCCACCTGGGTAAGTCACTCTAGAAGTCATCAAGGCCTGTGCCCTGTATTTATGGCAGAATCAAGCACCATCTAGACCAGTGTTTCTCAAAGTGGGCTGTGGGTACGCCTGGGTAAACTGCTGATGATCCCATAGCACTTTGTTTATTGAAAGTGTCCATAGTCACAAAGTCTCGCAGTTCTCATTGGCTGCATTTGCAGTTTCCAGCCAAGGAGAGCTGCGGGAAGTGGTGTAGCCTGGGCCACCCCAAAATGCCATCAGTGTCAGATTGTATTAATGACTTGTGAGAAGATCACTTAATAATACTGCTCACGGTTCCTGTGAGATGCTGCTTCGTATCTCATCCTTTTCAGTGTTGTAAATATGTCCAACTTCCTAGCCCTGTACCTGGATTACCATATTATATTCAAGACCATGTTTTGTCAATTGTCTAAGTTTGTGGTATTTTTGAAAAATCCCTTTTAAGTTCATAATAAAGACATTCATTGCATTCTCTTTATTGATACAGTTTTATAATATCAAGGAAAACAAGGTAGTTTTCCATGGCCTATGTTTCATAATTATTTAAATCTACTCAAGTACTTTTTTAGGCTGGGGAACCACTTTATCCTCGTGGAAGTGGAATTGTAGTTCAAATGACTTCTCGTATACATCCAGTGTTGCTGCTCATACATCTGTTTTTTATAGTCAGCTACCTGTGGACTCTAGGATGCATCCCATGTGGCTGATTAGTATATTAACAATTCTGTAACTTTATCTTACCTTAGTCATTGCTCTCTTATTTCCTGTGTTTGTTTCCCAGTTGCATTCCTTTTTCTTGCATTGAAAACTAGATAACAGTATTTTTAGCAGCTAAACCATCTGTTCTTTGCTGTTCTTCCCTCTTCCCCAATTTCAGGGGTCTTTTCCCTTTATTTCCTCCAATCATTTCTGAGTTTACACAAAGATATGATGAGTTGTATGTACTAATATACAAATCAATAAAATTTATTTATCTTGATTAGGTTCAAGCCAAGTGTTACCAGCTTCTGCTTTCTGTATTCCAACACTCCAACCGTGCCCTGTCAACTCCATACATCCATTCATTGGCACCAGTAATGGTTGAGAAACTGAAAAGTGTAGAAAGTCACCGCCCAAACAACAACACAGAGCTGTTAGCAGTCCAGGAAGGAATTAAAGTCCTTGAAACATTGGTTGCCCTTGGTGAGGAGCAGAATAGTAAGTATTTCTTTTCTGTAGAATATTTAATGTGGACATTATAATATAACTCTGAAGACAACATTTTACATTAGGATTTTTGGTGGTGCAGGTGATACATTTACAAATAGTGATTGAAATGATGCAAAAACCTGTCATTGTATGACAGCTTTATGTGATAGGGGCAGTTGTATGTAGGTGTTGCATTGAGCCAAGTGCCTGGTATGCCTACATAAAATTGGCAGAACATGCTCAAGAGCCACTCTTGCTTTGGAATGGCTAGTGTAAGCAGGTCTGAAATGTCAGAGTAGTAGAATTGTTTGGGGAAAGTTTGTACAACATATGATTTTTGTTAACATGGCTCTCTTCTGAGTCTTTACTAAACTAGAGCACCATTGCAGGGGGCGCTGTTCTAGTGGATGTATAATCTTTCAAAGCATTTCAAAGCAGATGTAGAACTAAGGTCCTAATTATTATGTTTAATCACTAAAGGTACCATGAAGGTCTTCACAAAAGTAATGATAATAAATACTACTGCTGTATTTACACAGCATATTTTATTTTGGGCTCTCAGAGTACTATACAAACACTTTTTGATCCCCCTATATGAGAAATTAATAGTATGCCCATTTTGCAGATCGGGAGACTGAGCCATAACAAGAATAAGTAATTTGCTGGAAATCACTGAATGAGTCAGTGACAAAGACTGAGGCCAGGAATGCAGGAATTCTGATTAATAAAATCCTTACTCTCACCATTCAGAGTAAGGTGTTAACACTAATGTCCTAGTCAAATTCCAAAAATGATAGCTATATTATCTGACCAGTATTTATATTTCCCTGCTGCATTTTCAAGGGCGGTACTCTTCACTTTATGTCCTAAACTGATGTGTCATACTTCCTATGATGATTGCTTTACAAAAGTAAGATGAAGTGATTTCTCAGTCTATGTAAAGTCCTGTAGGATCCTTTGAGGTACTCTACCATTTTAACTCATTAAGAGCACCATCAGGCTGGAAAGTAATCTAAGAGAAGTGGCTGGGACTCAAGTAGTGTGCATTAAACACTAGAAAATGTGGAATTCCTACATTAGCAAGGAAAAAGATTGGATGGCCTGAAAATCTATTTCCAACTCTTTTGGTTATATTATATTATTGCTGCATTTATGTTTTCAACTTAAATTGTGGCAATAATACTGTTTCTATAAAAGGGCCATTACAATCCGTTTTCTGTATAGTTTTTATTTCTATTATGCTATTTTCTTCTTTCACTTTCAGGAGTCCAGTTGCTTGCTCTTCTAGTTCCAACTCTGATCTCTTATTTATTGAATGAAAGTGCTTTTGCTTCTGCATCTACAGTATCGAAAGATCTTCATGAGTTTGCACTACAGAATCTAATGCACATTGGTCCCCTCTACCCTCATGCGTTTAAGACAGTAATGGGAGCTGCTCCTGAATTGAAAACACGTCTAGAAACTGCAGTCCGGGCAAGTCAGGCCAGCAAAGCAAAAGCAGCTGCCAGGCAACCGCCACCCACAACGCATTCTGTCCCCACAATTAAACTTAAAACTAGCTTTTTTTGAATTATTTTGAGCAATTATTTTTGGGATCATTCATACAATTAAAAGTCAGAAGCACTACATCATTCCTTATATGCTATTGCATATATGTCTGTATTTTGAATTGTTTGTATGTCAGAGGCAATCTAATAGCTTTATGTGTAATTACTTGAAATTTATGCATTATAAGGGAAGTAGTGTTACTAGTATTTATATAGATTTTTAAGAAATTGAATTTGTTTGATCATATTTGTGAATCCATGTTATAAATTATCCATCAAAAAATCATCTGTCCTACTAAATTGTGTTTACTTTTACTCATACTTTAAAAATGTTATTTTAAAAGCTAGTTAATGTTATCCCACTGTTGTACCAACATGCTAACACAGTAGGGTTGGAGTGGGTGGAGAAACCAGTGTTCCATATTTATTATTTATCTGTGGACATTTCAGGTGTAATGATCACTTTTTTTTTCTTTAAAAAATGATGAATTTGGGCTTATATCAAATCTTATAATTCATATCAGATCACATGAAGTATAGAAAAGTAGGTACTGGAAAAAATTACAGTCTTTTCCAGGATAATCAGGCATACTGTCAAAATAAGATGCTATTAATTTTGTGGTATATATCTTTCTTTCAGCTCATTTTCCATGCCTGAAGGCTAATAAAAGAATTCAAAGAACCAATCCCCCTCCCCAATCTCTTACTAAGAAAAATTAAAAGATGCATTGGAAACAGGGTGTGTAAATGGTACCACTTGCCATCTGCATTTCTGAGGCTCTGGAATTTGCCATTTGCAAAGCTTCTGTGGTAAACTACAGGTTGCACATCTCTTATCCGACACTCTTGGGACCTGACTGGTCCCAAACCAGAGAATTTGCTGGACTAGTGATGGTTCCCTGCCACATCCCCCAGCTGCCAATTCTGCCAAGGGGGGGGGGAAGGTGAGGGGAGTAGGGAGGCAGAGGGATTCACTCCAGCCCTTTCCCCGCTGCTGCTGCCCCAGCCGGACTGCTTGCTGGAATCCAGCAGCCCACACTGGCATAGACTCAAGCCCCATGCTTTCACATGCTGCTGGGGGCTGGCTCTGGCCCTGGTCAGGCTGCCGGGGGCTTGGGCTCCAGTCCCAGCCCCATGGCAGCCTCTGGGCACTGGCCCTGCTTCTGTGGACTGTCCAGGGCTCCGGTCCCACACTGCCATAGGCTGCTGGGGCTTTCTCCAGCCCCAGCCTTGATCCTGCTTCCACAGGCTGCCCAGGGCTTGGTCCTGGTTGCCACAGACTGTTGCCAACCAGATCCTGTGCTTCTGGGGGCTGCCCCAGCCTGGTCCCAGTGCCACAGGCTGTTGGGGGCTGCTGCCAGCTCTTGCCCCATCTCGCTGCTTCAACCCGGCCCCTCCTGGATTGCACTCCTACCACTAGGCTACTGGGGTTCTCTGATCCAGGAACATCTGTGGTCCTGCCAGGCCATGGATGTTGCTGGACCAGAGAATTCTGGTTTTGGGAGATGCAAACTGTATTTTCTTACTCTTCCCAGATGTCACAGTTCTGTTTAATTTGCCTGGATTCTCAGGACTTGTTTTCACTGCACCGTGGATCGATGCTGCAGCGATCCACCAGAAGTCAATTAATTGCACCTGCTTTACAAGCAATAAATCAACTTTCAAGCGCTCTCCTGTTGACTCTGGTTCTCCACCGGAACGAGAAGAGTAGCCAGAGTTGACGGGAGAGCAGCCCCCGCCAACCTTACCACATGGAAGACGCAGTGATAAATACAGCAACTTAAGCCATGCTATTCGAGTAGCTGAAGTTGCGTATCTTAGATCAATGGGGGACATAGTGTAGACTAGGCCTCAGGCAGAGACACAAGCACTGTTATGGACCATAGTGGGAGCCACGGAGTCCTTTATCCTGCCACGATTCACAGCAGGCAGGTGGAGAATCTTCTTTGCACAGCCATAGGGAGGGAGCTAAATACAGCTCACACACTCTGTTTCTAGTCTGTAAGAGATGGAAAGCATGAAACCATGTACTCTGTGCATAACAGATCTATAATTTCTGGCAAGGATCCTGATTTATTAAATGCAGAAGTGCTGTTTTCCTTGGTAAACTGGGAATTGTGCAACGTGGTGAAATATATAGGAAAATACAGAAGTACATTAAAAACAACGAAGAGTCCCTGTGACACCTTAGAGACTAACACAGGATTCCACATTGTTTTTGCACATACAGACAAACAGAGCTACCCCTCTGAGACTGAAGTACAGTATTTTTATTGACTTGTATGTTAATGCCCCTGTTCCTATCCATTTCACTAGTCAGTGAAACCTCTGCATTTTAATGTCTTTTGCACTGCTGTAGAATTCCCAGTTTGCCACATAAACAAGGGGCCCTTCCTATATAGGTTTGTTGTTTTGTGTAACCTGTAGGACAGGGATGAGCAATAAGACAGCGGCAATTCACCAGGGTTAGCTGCGGATCACCATTCCTGGCCAATGGGAGCTGCAGGAAGCAACATGGACCCATACACCCCTTCCCACACCTCCTGTTGTCAGGGAATAGCAGTCCATGGCCAATGGGAGCTCCTAGTGCCTGTACCTGTGGAGACACAGATAAATACAGCGGCGTTAGCCCACCAGGGCCTAATCCTGGTGAACTGGATCCAGTCTACGGGCTGGAAGTTGCCCACTACTGCTGAACGGCCTTCATGAAAAATGTAAGTATGTTTCTGTCCCTCAGTCTTTGTTGTCCATCCAGGTGTTCCTATAACAAGCCAATGTACAAGCTATATAATTTGAGATGTGGCTCATAAAATTTCTTTTGTGTGAATGTAGCTATAGGAAAGGAGTAGTTATCAGAATTTAACTGTATGATTATTTGACTGAAATAGGTATGGATTCTGATCTTGCCATAGGCATTTACCCACCTCTTTCTTCTAAATAGCCACTGATAGGGCTCTTGAGCATCTATGCAAAAGGCAGAGGAAAAAAATCAATTGTAATTAAAGCCAATTCACTAGGAGCAAGAGAGTTCTCTTTTACCCTGTCAAAGTTTGTTTTAAAGAGTTTGCAGAAACTGTTGTTTAGGAAAGCTTTTAATTCAAAATTGCTCTTCACCATTATTCAAGAACACAGTGAATGGTGCAAACAGTTACTATTGCTTGTATCTTTACTCCCACATCTACTTCCACTAAAGTAATAGGACTAGACATGAGCATAAGGACGCATAGAGTAATAACTGTTTACAGAATGAGGCCCAAAGTGAGTCAAGAGTGGCAGCAAATAATTTATTTATTCCTCCTTGTTATACATAGCAATTAAGTTAATTAAAATGTGCAACAGAATTTACAATTTCAAAACAGAAACACTAAAAATTCATTTGAATAAATTAAATACAAGCCTTCTAACATTTTATTAGGGAAGGAAAATTTCAAAATAAACATGCTAGCAAGATCTTTTAGAGAAATCAAACATGTAAAACAGTTGGAAGCGGAAAGAAGAGTATATGCTTTCTCTGATTGTTTCAAGTTGGTTTATGCTTACTAGGTTCTTATCCATGCCATACAGCAAATCAATTGTTGTTTATTTTTGGGTTGAGGGAGCTGGTGTGCACTAAGGACATGCCTTTCCTTATGTCATTAGTTGTCTGCTAGTTTCCCTCTGCCTTTCCTGAATTAGCATAACGAATTCTTGTTGTCTCCTAATTTCCCCAAAAGAGTCTTGTTTTACCCTAGCACTTTTTTTCCTGTCAGAATTGATTTTTTTTTTTAACTAAACAAGATCACTGGCAATTCATAAAAGGCAAAGAAACAAATCTTTAAAATGTGAGTTTAGAGCCAGCCGAGCAAAAATGAAATGCTGTAGGAAGCCAGTTTAAAAAAATGTAAAACAGGTAAAAAATGTTAATTGAAGGGAAAACAGGCTCAGAAAGCGATTGAGGGATAAGGGAGTGGCAGATGAAAAGAGAGGCTTTTTCTCATACAGACATACTGGGTTCTCATGCTTGTTTAGAAACAAGCCTCTCAAATTTTCCATCCACGTGATTCTGTCCTTTTCCTGCTCCTCAGGCAAAAAAATGATTTCATATAATAATATAATAATCTGGTTCCAACCTTCATTGGATTATAAAGCAAAATAACTTGGCATGCCTTCCTCACTTTTGTTCTTCCTTTGTGTTCTTCATTATGACTTTCCCTGTTTTCATAGTCTTTTTTTCAGTGTCTCTTTTCCCCCGAATTACCTTCTCTCTACTTCCTCTCTCAATTTTTCTTTTTTCTTCCCGCACTTCTTTTGCTCCCTTTTTCTTACCTCTCTTGCTTTTTCCCATTTCCTTGCTATTCCTCATTCTCTCTCCAAGATACTTCAGGGTTTTTTTCCCTTCGGCCAGAGTGAAGGGATTGCCTAGTATGTTCCTCTGTGTAGTTATAGTGATCTCTCATACTCCTGGGGAAAGAAGCAGGCAAGCACTGGCCTTCTGAAGAAGTGACAGCTGGCTAGCAGCTAACAGGAAATACTGGTTTCAGAAGCTCAGCAGCAAGTCCTTGTCTGTGCAAAATATGGTGAAGTCTCTGGGACTACTCAGTGCCTTCACCATTGATAAGCCTGTAGAAATGCTAAGCTTATGCTAAGACACTGTAGTTGGTGACATACTGAATGTTGCTATTGCTTACAGAGCTTGCATCATGTTTAGTGTCTTTACGTATTCTTAGTAATAGAGATGTAGCCGTATTAGTCTGGTCTTGCTGAAACAAAAGACCATATTCTTACATATTCTTGGCCTTTTTAGCTTTATTCTGGATTTGGCAATCCCAATCCTCTTCAAGAAGGCTCCTTTTATTAATGTCTGTGTGCATCTGTAGTAGGTCTTTAAGTGGACCCAGGCTGAGAGAAGCAGCAAAGCCTCACATTGTGAGGTCCATGGCAGCTACAGCAGAGGAGGCGGCTCTAGCTTCCCTCCTCCTTAAACACCAACTGTTGAATCCATCCCCTTGGACGAGTCATTTTAGAAGTTTAGGCTCCCACTGTCCTTTCCGAGGAGGCTGTTTCCCAGGACGCTTTCTGCAATATGGTCCAATGACTGTCCTCAGCATTCTCCTGCTAGAGAGAACAGAGCTTTCAGGGCAAGTTTCCTTCTGAAGTTTGGTGGGATGCTTTACAGGTCTCAGCACTGCTTTTCCTTCCCATGCAGGAAAGACCAGTCCTCAGAAGGTTCTCCTATGCTGAATCCTTACAGCTATAGTTCTCAACGAGGGGTCCAAGGTCCCTTTAGGGGCCATGAGCAGGTTTC